CAGCAGGAAACAAACATCAACAATAGAACTAATAAGTAAGAGTAAAAGAAACATCCAATTATTTGTTGTCTATCAAGTTTTCTTCCATCTCATCTCTCTCCTTACTAAAAGGCCTACCTACTGATTTTTCCCTGACATCCTTAAATAAAAACAAGAAAGAACAAATAAGTCCCTGCATTACAGAGAGAGAGAGAGGCCAGATAACAGAACATGTTAGACAAACTCAGTATTATTAAGGGTTGGAAGTGATTTGGTTGCTCTTTCTAGGTTTCTATTGTTTTTTCTTCTTTCATCAAGATCCCTACCTATTTTGCTTCTAGTTTTAAACTCGACATCATTCCAGCTCAATTTGCCAGTTTCTATAGCATAAACATATAAATTCTTCACCAAATGCTGGAATCTCCGGCGAAAAGTTGGCATTCGAGACAATGAAGCAACCATGCCTTGAAGCCTGTGTGGCACAAAATCATTTAACCGTTAAGAATATAGAAAACTCTAACGAGCACAAGCAAAATTCCTATTTTAATAAAAAGATATTAATTTTGCATAATCGTGCATTTTGAATTTAAAAAAAAAACAACATTCACCATCTTCAACATGCAAAGACAGTATGTTATCAATTTCTTGAAGAACAAAATGTCTGATACATAGATAAAATCTATAGTAAATTTAAAAATAAGATCCCCCAAATTTTTCTCAAAAAAATGGCACAGAAAAAAATTTTAATAATGAAACTTGAAGCTATAATAACAAGTGCAATTACCGAATTTTAGTGGAAATCATATCTACTTGTAGCAGCATGATGACTGAATTTTATTCGCTTGTGTGAATTGTTTCCATTCTCTATTTCTGCTACATATTTTTGTTATTACTTGCTGGAATGTTTAATTTGGTTAAATTTTGATTTAATTGAAATTTTAATTACAGTCGAAAATTTTTAATTGCTAACGAATTTTAAGTGGTTCAAAATTCTTAATGATTTTATCATATTTAATCAATCATTATCACTTCAACTCTACTTCTAGTGTCTTTTATTCTACAGATAATGAAAGTAATTTTTGTCTGTCAAGCAGTTTTTTATCTAGGATTTTGTTTTTCAAAGAGATCAACATTCATTGCATCATCCTCATTATATTAGAAAACTTGAAGCCTGCTGATGTTGGTTCTAATTCAGAGCATAACAGAATCGATTACTAAAGATCTTTATAAAAAGAAGAAAGTTTTGTTAAATGGGAAAAATAAGTAGAAACAAATGAAATATGAAATAAATTTAGAACTTTGCAAACAGCCAAAAAAGCTTGGTAGATCATTCGAAAAGTTGTGCAAAGGCGGTCATTTTAGAACTGCAGCAAGCTAGCATTACTCGCCCAAATAACCAGGTCAACTATTTTAAGAAAAATAATTTGTCCAATTTACAAACTAGATTTTTTGTAATTCCAAAAGGTCGCATAATAACAAAAAAAAAACATGGAACATATTTTTTCGCATATACAATGAACGAGCAACTTCTGCAAGAGCAAGTTTATGCTCGTTAACTCGTAAAAGCCTGGTTGAATTTCTCATATTTCCACAAGCATATTAATACATAAAACTTTGTTTTTTATCAATATGAATACTGGTCGAATGGTTGTGGCCCAATAAACTTGTTGGAAAAAGGTGGGACCAAAGATAACTAAGATAAAAGGTGAGCAAAAAGACTTTAGGATAATATTAAGCACATCACACAAAACTTAGCAGCAGCAAATTGAGAATGAAGATACGTAACATCAGCCCAAGATTGGAAGAATACACCTAACAATGCTATGCAATAGAAACCTTTGCGCTTTTATCCATTGTCACTATTTTGTAATAGCCAGTTTACCCTTTCTATGTTTTATTTTTAACTTACACATTTGTATGTGCTAGAGCTCGAACTCAAGATCTTGCGATTGAGGATAAAGCATCCCCACCCACTAGGCCAAATACGTTGCACAGGAAAAGGAAGTCTAGTTGTCTAAACATAATATCATATCCTAGTAAAGCTAATATTGAAGGATGAAACGATCAAGGGAGACCAATCAATGATTTCAGTGTGTTCACTAAATCATTTATCAAGTGTCTCAAACCTAACATATATGATATATAAGTCAAAAAAAAATAATGAAACAATGTCATCAAGCATGTAGTTGTTATTTGGGTTACATTCAGAAGATTAAAGTATACCTTCTAAGTAATGCTTGAATTTGAGCTGTCCGCACCATGTCATTCGAAGGAAATTTGTTTTCCCAGTCTTGAGGTCTATCATTCTTATTGGTCATGATCAAATTTCTCAAGCATGACTCCTCATTTTCCTCCAAGTGCAATCCCTTGATTTGTTCTTTCATAATAGAAAGAGGCCCAAACAGCCATTCCAGTATCTTGTCCTTCGGCCAGCTAAAATTTGTCAGATCTACCCCATCAGCTGATGAATCCAATCAGAATACTATTAAAATTGAAATCAACTTAGATATAATTAACATTATAGGAACAAATAGATTTTCGGTGAAACTGAAAATAATTAAAAAAAAACATAAAAGAGGAAAAAATGGTTCTTACATAAAAGCAAACCATTTGCATCAATCGTCACAGACCTAAGCAAGCACTGTAAAATACACCATGCTGGCAATCTTATGCTTAGTTTCTTAGAATTTCCTTTAACAATATATTCCTCTATGTCTTCAATGCTGATGAGACCATCAGTCAGTAAAATCCTTCCATTTAGCTCACAAGATCTAAAGAGCCAGTCCCAGATCTGTAAATTTTATACAAGGCATTAATCTTTAATTTTACAGAAAAAAGATCAATTATTAGTAAATGCATTTCTTACCTGCATTGGTTGTAGTTGTTGGATAACCTTCCTCAATGTCCGAGACTGATTCAATTCTAACTTCGTAGTTTTAGGGCTACAAATCCCATTCTCACTCTGTTTTTCTTTAGTAATTTTCTCAGCAATTGTAGCATAATGTCTTCGGTATTTGGGCCTGTCTGGTATTTTTCTCAGAACTTAAATTATTTTACTACGTGAGTAAAATTAAAAATGCTCTGTTCTAAGAAAGAAAACTAAATCTTATCTAATCTTATTTGACTAAATTGATACCTTGGGAGACAGGATCCCTCCCTCAGATAAAGTAGGTCATTTGTGTACTCATCAAATAAAGAAACCACAGAAACAACATAAGCAAATCCCATCTTCAGAGAATTTTCCTAAAAGCAGCTACAAATGTATTTATTTAAATAAAAAATAACATATATAAAGCTAAAATTATTTATCTAGCATGTTCAGTAATATATGATACCTCATAAACGATAACTATGCCATAGAGCCCCAGAAAGAAGCTGCAAATGAAAGCAGCAACCACCGCTCCAATAACAGCTAGAGGCCATAAAAGAATTGCAAGGCCAGCAAAGGGAACACAAACAGTCTCCAGAAAAGGCCCCTCCCTCCCTATCAAATCATATAATAATCTATGCCATCCTCTTAATAGCATATATGGACTCTTCGCTAATGCCACGATGCTAATTGCAAGTACATCAATTGGCACTCCAAGCACCGAAACCAGAAGACAAGATGGCAGCCTTGTTAACCTTACAAAAAAAAAAAGGTGCCATAGTTTCAATAAATCATGATAAATCATGCAAATTCAAAGAGGTCTGATGCTATGCTCAATTTCTTCAGTAGTTTGATGGTATAAGCATTTAATGTTTTGTAAATAACAATGATATCAAGATGATGGTGTTCTCAAATAATTACAACAAATATCAAATATAGTGTGTTTGGTTAAAATACTTAAGAACGCAAGGTAATTACGAATGATCAACTATCATTCAGCGATGCCACTAAGCAAAAAATCTTAATATAATCACATGGATAATGTTAGAAAATTAACAGCGTGTTAACAAAAATTTCGGAAAATAACATATATTACAACACTAAAGAGAGCCTTCCATGATGTTTTACTATGAGCTCAGTAAAAATCAGAAAGCAAGGAGAAGAATGCTTCCTTATTTTCATGAGTGTGGATCTACAACCAGATCGATCATCTAAAATAAATCAAGATTTGTAAAGAAATTTCATGTATAATAGTTCAAACAAAGAAAGATCCAAACAAAGAGCTAATATTCACTGATAAACTGCGAATCTCAAAATAATCAATAAAGAATATATGTATAAATTAAGAGAGTGACACTTAATAAATTGAGGAATTGGCCAACATAGACTTTGCAGAAATGTAAAAATATGCATAAAACATTCATACTCAATATCAAGTGGTATCTCATCATCAACTACTTTCTCACAGAGTCCATCCATAAATGAAAAATAAGAATGGAAACAAATATCTTTGAAATCTCGCACCAACGTACAAGCTCCATTGATGGTGCTCTTGCATCCATCCTGTCATGCATATAAATAAATCAAGTTACTTAGAATTCAGAAAATATGATCGTCTAAAGTTTTTGGCATCATATATGATAAAGGATACAAGCGCTACAAATTGCTAGGAAGCAGTTTATTAGCAATCTAATAATATCTATGTGAAGAAATTAAGAATAAAATTCTTAGGCTTTTTTCGTTCTATGAGGACAAAAGAGAGTAAAGTAAAACTTTCTGCCAAGGAAATGATGCATGTTCTTGCATCAGCCCCATATATTGAGGTAGGGTTTAAAAATAGCAACGCCATTATCAAAAGTGACTTGTATGTAACTTCAATAAGGCCTAATTAATTGAGGTTACCAGTGACTTATATGTAACTTCAATAAGGCCTAATTAATTGAGGTTATCCTAAGCTCAAGTTAACCACAATACCAAAAAACACTTTAAATGTGTAAATATGCTTAACTAGGTTTGAGGTTACTTCAACCCAAATTAATATTTTTTAACACCCAAATTACACTTCTTGAACACTCCACCAATACCACGCCAAGAGAAGCACCGCCTTATGTGATTGCTCAGATCTTTTGAGATATGGCTGCTCCAAAAATGATTACCATCGAGTTTACTAACGGGGTAATACTCTCATTCACCCCAAATATTTTCTATGCGGAAGAAGGGGGTGATCGCATTCGGTTATTTTGATTGTCCCATTAAAATTACACTAAAAAATTCACCTTTTCAAAAAGTCTCATTTACTAAATAACCGAAATGAGTGGAAAAGAGTAAGAAATGGAGAAAAATAAAGCCACTCAGACAAACAGATAAAAGAAATGTGGATAATATCTATCGAATGGTCTTTGTGAGATAAATCATGAGGAGATGTCCAAAAGGAAATTAGCTCAAATCAACCCGAAAACTTATTAAATCAAGTTACTTTGAATTCAGAAAAATATGATTGTCTAAACTTTTTGGCATCATTTATGATACCGAATAAAAGCACTACAAATTGCTAGGAAGCAGTTTATTAGCAATCTAATAATATCTATGATGAAGAAATTAAGAATAAAATTCTTAGGCTTTTCCCGTTCTTAGAGGACAAAAGAGAGTAAAGTCAAACTTTCTGCTAAGGAAATAATGCATGTTCTTGCATCAGCCCCATATGTTAAGGTAGGGCTTAAAAACAGCAATGTTGTTATCAAAAGTGACTTGTATGTAACTACAATAAGGCCTGATTGATTGAGGTTATCAGTGACTTATATGTAACTTCAATAAGGCCTAATTAATTGAGGTTATCCTAAGCTCAAGTTAACCACATTACCCAAAAACACTTTAAATGTGTAAATATGCTTAACAAGGTTTGAAGTTTTCAAACCAAATTAATACTTTTTAACAACCAACTTACACTTGTTGAACACTCCACCAATACCAGGCCAAGAGAAGCACCGCCTTATGTGTTTGCTTAGATCTTTAGAGATATGGCTGCTCGGAAAATGATTACCAATGAGTTTACTAAGGGGGTAATACTCTCATTCACCACAAATGTTTTCTATGCTGAAGTAGGGTTGATCGCATTCGGTTATTTTGATCGTCCCATTAAAATTACACTAAGAAATTCACCTTTTCAAAAAGTCTCATTTACTAAATAACCTAAATTAGTGGAAAAGAGTAAGAAAGGGAGAAAAATAAAGACACTCAGACAAACACATAAAAGAAATGTGGGTAATATTTATCGAATAGTCTTTGTGAGATAAATCAGAAGGAGATGTTCAAAAGGAAATTAGCTCAAATCACCCTGAAAACTTATTCATGGAAAAACTTTATATAAATCAAGTTACTTGGAATTTAGAAAATATGATCGTCTAAACTTTTTGGCATCATATATGATACAAGATACAAGCACTACAAATTGCTAGGAAGCAGTTTATTAGCAATCTAATAATATCTATGATGAAGAAATTAAGAATAAAATTCTTAGGCTTTTTTCGTTCTTTGAGAACAAAAGAGAGTAAAGTCAATCTTTCTGCTGAGGAAATGATGCATGTTCTTGCATCAGCCCCTTATGTTGAGGTAGGGGTTAAAAACAACAACGTCGTTATCAAAAGTGACTTGTATGTAACTTCAATATGGCCTGATTAATTGAGGTTATCAGTGACTTATATGTAACTTCAATTAGGCCTAATTAATTGAGGTTATCCTAAGCTCAAGTTCCTAAGCTCAAGTTAACCACAGCTCAAGTTAACCACATTACCCTAAAACACTTTAAATGTGTAAAAATGTTTAACTAGGATTGAAGTTACTTCAACCCAAATTAATATTTTTTAACACCCAACCTACACTTCTTGAACACTCCACCAATACCAGGCCAAGAGAAGCACCGCCTTATGTGATTGCTTAGATCTTTTGAGATATGACTGCTCAGAAAATGATTACCATTGAGTTTACTAAGGGGGCAATACTCTCATTTACCCCAAATGTTTTCTATGCTGAAAAAGGGGTGATCCGCATTCGGTTATTTTGATCGTCCCATTAAAATTACACAAAGAAATTCAACTTTTCAAAAAGTCTCATTTACTAAATAACCTAAATGAGTGGAAACGAGTAAGAAAGGGAGAAAAATAAAGCCACTCAAACAAACAGATAAATGAAATGTGGATAATATCTATCGAATGGTCTTTGTGAGATAAATCAGGAGATGTCCAAAAGGAAATTAGCTCAAATCACCCCAAAAACTTATCCATGGAAAAGCTTTATATAAATCCATCGGCCACCCTAAATAACCACAGAATCAAATTTCTATGTTTTAGTTATGAGCTAAAAGTAACTCCCATACAAAAATATTTGTTTGATTAATTACATCTTGAAGGAAACCCATAAGAACTCTTGATTAAGGAGGTATTTCTTATTTTTTGATATCTGGTAAAAGGAAATCTCAAGAAATCAAATTCATTACTTTAAAATGTGAATCCCAATACATCTAAACCAAATCAAGTCATAGGACAGCAAGTGAATCATTGTATCCTAATGGGCGACAACTTATCAATAAACAGAAATAAGTGACATCAATTAATTTATCAAAGGGATGCAATAGGCCCAAACGATATATCAAAAAGAGATAAAAACTTTTTTAAATTTGATGGACGGTCTAACTAGGATTGCATGGATCTGCTAGACTATTTAGGCACTAAGTCTATTTAATTGTGAGGATAATAGACCCAACACAATTAAAATTCCATGTCAACAATTCAAGTATGGCGTAATAATTATGAAAATATCAACTAAAAGTTAAAAGGAGATATCCTAGAATAATATGACAATATCCAAGTAGAAAAGGCAGAGATATGACTTATTTCTAGCAAAGCTACAAATGCCTAAGAAACAATGTGAGATGGATAAATTTGACTATAATAGTTAAAATTATTCTACAAGGACTTACAATCTTGTATGGGTCAAAATCTTCTCTAAATTTCTTAAATGTTCTAGAAAAACCACCTAAATGTTGGTATAAATCATGTTCTCAGTCAAATAGGAGATACAAGTATGCTTCTATGGGACATGGTATGGTAAATAAAATATTTATCCTTAGAGTGGAGGCCCTATTAACATGACTTGGGCTATAGATTTACAATGCAAATCATTTACAATTTAGTCATGAGCCATGAAGAATATTAAATTTTTATTATAAAAAAATTGTCATTTTTTCTACAATAAATTTTAAGATAAAAATTTTCAAATTATTAAAGAGGATAGAAAAAGGGTTTTATGCTTGGAGCCTACTCTAGCTTGTGAGAGCCCAAACAGACCACAATCTAAAACTAATCACAAAATCAACACGTGCACAAAGAAAATAAATCACACAAAATGAAACAATATTAAGGTGTCCTTAATAAATCAAGATATCCAAGAAAAACAAAAAGGTATGGGACATGACCAATATTTCAACTCCTAATAATCGTTCAACTATGATTTCGGTCTTCAAACTCCTAGGAACTCATGTACATATCATGTTTCTAATACAGATTCGAGTATCTATACTCTAAAAGTATATTATAGAAATATAAAATTACATTGTATTACCTACAAATTAGAATTAACAGGTAATTCTATAAATCATGCAAGCGAGAAATAAATCATGTCCAGTGGAGGAAATTCATAATTAGCACATGCAATCAAAAAATATATTTATATATTTATTGTGGTTGTTTCCTCTGGGTAACATGACTCACTGCAAAAGACCAAATATAATTCTTAATCTATTACACAAGTCTCAAATCACAATAAATATAGAAAAAAGAAGCAATCATAAAACATGTGACTAGATACAAATTAATATAGAATAATAGCCACATGTATGAAAAATCTAAAGTACACCCTACCCTAATACAAACGAACATCTAAGGGTCGTATCCTAATCGCATAAAATTAAGTGTATGAAAATCAATGTAGCACAAGGTAAGTTCATTTGATTTTGGCTAAGCCACTTAGTATGACACCACCCTAAAGATCCAAACGAGGTAACATTCATCGCTCTAAGGTATAACTTTTTTAAACTAGATTTTTAAAAATAATTATATACATAACTATGTTAATGAACATATTATTAATTTGAAAAACAAGTTACCACATTTATGATCTAAATAATAAATGATTTAGGTTAAAAATATGTTTTTAAAATATGAATAAATATGTTTTTAAAATATGAATATGAATGATAAAATTTAAAAAAAAATTATTTAAAATCATGACCTTACATATGATCTGAAAAAACTATGTGATAGATTTTAAATCACATGGACTTAACAAAATCATATAATGAATGAGATATACTCATGAACAATACTCATTAAAACATTACAACCAAGGGTTAGAACCCTCATTTAAGACGATTTTGTCATTGAAATGTTGACTTTCCTAATGAATAATGCTCATTAAAACATTACAGCCAAGAGTTAGATCACTCACTTAAAGAGCCTTTGTCATTGAAGCATTGACTTCCCTAATCTATATGCAGACAATATGCCAAGTGCGGCAAAAGTGGTGGCAATGTAGAGATAATATAAATATAAATAATTAAATTATGTATTTAAAATTCTATGTCAAGCATATGATTCACTTAATATTATTTTTAATACAAATAACATAAAATACTTTAACCATTAATAATAAAACGTTATATGAGCCCAGTATATTATACATCAATGATGGATATCATGTCATCACATTAAACACTAATACAAAAAAGATATCAATATAATCATGTCATAATATTCACGTTAACGTCCTAAACACGACTGTGGTAGGGTGGCCATCCCACATTTCATCCAAACAACAAGGCTTTGAAAACCGTTCCTACGCAGAGGACAATATTCGTCGCAAATAAGGCTTCCTCAACGCCCCCCTCACCGTACTAGAGTTCCTCAACTAGAATAATAAGTCGATCTCTTCAAAACTCAATACATGGGTTGTTTTACAAGCTCGCATGGAAAGCACCCCCGCTGGGGGCAAAAGATTCAAAAGCAGCAGCTAAAAACTTGTGAGGCAATATTCTTGAGTATGACTGCAATCATATTTCCCAAAAAACAAACGGTCCATTGCGACCGACGCTCCAATCTCGAGAGATGCAATGCATCCACCATACTATGTCCAGAGAAATATACTTATTTTTCCTATCATATTGCCATATGATTCAAATGAACTCAAAGTGATTTGCCTAGAATGTTTAGAGTGTTCATAGGTGGTCCTAACTCGAAGAAGATTATAATCCCTTGTAAAACAATATGAAACATGTAGTCGAATTTAATCATCTCTCATCGTTTCATAAGCAATTTGTCACTCTTTTATAGGACTAAGTCTTGTTCTTGTGTTTTCAACTTAGATAGATTTGTAGGACTCTAGGGTATCCCTTCTTTTAACTTTGAGTTTATAAAGTTTCCTTAGACGACAAAAGTACACAAATTGATGATAAAAAATTATTGGTTATGTTGAATTGACTACCTTCACAACTAAATGAACTTAAGATATAAATAGTCTGAGATAACAAATCTATGGAATCCTGATTAAACCATGTCTATCAATCTCTACAAATTTCTAAACAATGCTTTTGATATATCATACCACCTTTAGACCATTCTATTATTTTGATAAATTGGTTGCTGTCACTTCATAGGTCTCTGTTTGTTGATAAGTTGTCATCCGTTGAGATACAGTGATTTACCCTCGCACAATGATCGGGTCTGATTTTGATACATTGGGATTCCCATACTAAAGTGATGGCCCTCATTTTTTTATACTCCCTTCTACCATATATTAGAACGTAAGACTCCTTAATTAAAAATATTTTTGAATATCTTCTAAGATATAATTAACTAAAGGAAAACATTCATTTAGGAATAGCTCTTAATCCCAGAACAAAGATGTTGAACATTGATTATCCGGTTATATAAGTGGGAGACTTATATAGGCCTTCTTTTGTTGATAGGCATTCCAGATGATTTGGTCTTTTTTTTTGGACCTCTCCCAATCTATCTCGCAAAGGTCATCCCATAGAAATTCTCCATGCTCTTAATATTTGTTTGTTTAAGTTACTTTATTTTTCACTTTGTTGCTCTTTTGCATTCGTTCAAGTGATTTATGCATGGAGCTTGTTCGAAAAGCAAAATTATAAAACAAAATTAAGTAATATAGTGACTCTCACCAAACATTATTCATTTCACACTTCCAAGGCCTAAACTAACTACTTACTAACTCTATTTTGTGGGTAATAGAGGCCGTAATTTTATAATTCTTCTAATATGTTTTGAGTCTAGGTGATTGAGTCTATATTAAAAATAAATTGTGTGTGGGTTCCTTGGAGTTTGAAGACTGAGACCATACTTAGACAAAGACAATGAGCTATTTGTTCATGTCCCGTATTTTAAGTTTAAAAGATATTTTATTTTATAGATTTATTATCAGGTTATATATGTGGAGTCTGGCCGCATTTTTTCTTTAGGATATGTTATCAATTTAGAGACACCTAATTAGTTCTTAATCTCCCAGGTGTACAGAAAAGCTAATGAACACAAGTTTACAAAGAATTTGCTTCCATAACTAAAAACTTACAACCATTAATCAAAACGTTAATCGAACCACTACATAAGACCCACTTTCTAACATTGAATAGGTTAACACTAACAGAATTATGTTAATACTAATTAAAATAACCGAAGCCCCACCCAAACTATCATTGATAATGATTGATTTGTACTCTATAAATCAGTTGTGTGACTAACCATAAAGCAATGATACAGTCTGTCAATAGTATCCTCTCCAACAGCTTCAAATGTGGCAATTAATGGAACAAAATACCCATAACCAACACCAATTAATATACATCCGAAAATCCCAATCACTGGCCATAGTAACAGAGGCACAGGCAAGCATAGCAGAATCGATAACTTCAAAACCGGCCCGAGTATCTTGGTCCTGCCACAAAGAAATCATGAAGTTTAAGCACTTGAATACAATAGCATTAGTAATTATGAAATTTTAGTACTGTAACTCATACTTTGTCACGCAGTATAAAGTCCAGAAGAAATGTACAGGCCACAAACCAATAATGACAGCTGAGTTTCCAACAAAAACCAGAATAGCCACAACAGGACCAATTATTGCAGCTGCAAATAGAGAACCAAATACTAAGTTCAATACACAAATAGCATCAACCAGTAAATCAATATGAGCTCTTTCATCCAATGTGGTTATATTAACATGGGCAAAAAATGATCTACAATTGATATTTAAGATCATGGGATGGAATTGAAAAAAAAAATGTCCAAAAAGAAAACTGAATCTTTTTCAGTCAAAATCGTAAGTGACAATGAGAGAAAACAGTTCAATTATAATTGTAATGTCTGCAAAATTGGATAAGTTTTGAGCAATAGGTGTATATTCAGAGTTTTTTTTTTTCTCTCTTTAATAGAGCTAGAGAAAAAATTAAAATGTTTAAGTAACCGTTTGGTAAATTTAAAAATATGGTAGTGAGAAAGGATTATAGTAGAATATCGTGGAATTAGTGCAAAAATCTTTTTACTTGGTCTTCAGTTAATTGTTTGTAGCAAGATTAAATCTTTCCATTAATAATGAGATCACAAGATTCCATCATTTGGTTCAACGTAATTAGGAAACAATAACCTCAAAATCCCTCAAAGTGATAATTTTGTTTTCACCATCAAAATAAGTGAACAAAAATAACATTTTCTAGAGTACGAATGAGCATTTATGTGGTTTAGTTACGTACAAAGAATGATAGAAAATAGAATAGTAAGAATATAGAAAAATTATACAAAATAACAGCGTTTTAAAAACCAAACCGGACATGTCGATCCGGTCAGAAATTCAAATTCAACTATTTCGACAATGAACCGTTTTGGACCCGCCCCAAACTGCCAGTTTAACCAAAAACCAGCAAAAGGATTCTGATGTGGGAGAATCGGTATGAACACAATGTCAAGGGCACTTAAGACGCTTCTCCTCACCAATGACATTCTCCTCTACTCCGATATCGCCCTACGCAACGATCTCGAGACGTTGGTAAAGATGAAGCATCTGCTCGAGTTGCTAATGCAGATCCGACAATATGAAATGGTGATGGGGCTTATCCTTGTAACGATGAACTGTATCGTCATTGAGATCATTGAGGTATACAGCAACAGTTGTAGAGGCATTGCCAGCTTTCTCGTTGATGTGCTCGGTTCCAATTCTTCCACATCCTCTGCCTCCAAGACAGTCGTGCTTTTTGAAGAAAGGAGATGATTGGGTGTGGCAAGAATAAAGGTGCTCCATACAACCCACCTTTCTTTAACATTTCTATAGTTAATGACTAAATGCAAATTATAGTAATAGATAATCTTATCTTAAGTTAATTCTATCATAGCTCAAGCTAAGTATAAAATCAATACTCAAAATTAGGCCTAATGGTAATCAATTATGTTTAAACTTAATTATTTTTACTTATTTGCTTTATTGTATGATTATTATATCATTTTGATTATATTTAAATAATTGTTTTAATTATTACACCATTTGGGTATACTCCTGGTTCGACCCTGATCGAATTAATTAACCTTACACCTCTCTTTCTTCCAGTTCGATACCCGATCCGGTTTTCACAACCTTGCAAAATACCACTTATGGACAACATGAACAAGAATTTCCTTGACTTGTGAAGTAGAGAACCTTCCAAATAGTTCATAATTCTACCTATAAAATCACTTCTCAACAAAAAATCTCAATTGGAAGTTTCAAATTAAACGCTACAATATTTAGCAGAAAAGAGGTATGCAATGCTTAGCACTTTCAATTACCATGGCTTTCAATAACCCAAAATAGAAAAGTTCAACTTCTATAGATTGACACCTTTCTTTGTTATAAATTAAGAAAAAAATTTTGGTTATAAGGATATGAGAGGAGTTGGCAGACAGGAGCGTTGGGAGAGGGGTGGAGAGGAGCAATGACTCGACAGAGTAGGATTGATGTATGAACTATTCATATGGGTTTCTCTCTCTCTCTCTCTCTCTCTCTCTCTCTCCTACTTTTTTTTATTATGCGGGTGGTTTTTGTCATCCATTGGACAACAACAATCAAATCACTAATGAACTAGTGATAAGATAACCACCGTTTTGAAGGAGATTAAGTAGGTTCTTCCCATTTGGGAGTTTTCACCTCTTTGCATGATAAATTTATGCAGTAAAGAAAGATTTCGATCAATTGACTCACAAATTAAGAAGGCGGCAATGTAAAAAGATCAAAATTATCAATTCTTTAAAGTCATCTACTGAATTTGGATGAATTTAATTTTTCTCGAATTCACAAATGAATTTGGAAATTTTGACCCAAATGACCTTGATGTTAAAAATTAACTAAAGATTTTAGGAATTAAGAGCAACCTATCGTAGGATCTGATTTTTCTGATGAATTTATAGCAAATAAATAATATTAATTAAATGGACAAATTATGTTATGATTTTACTTCATTTTGGGGGCAGGTATCTAAAGTTAATATTTGCTATGATATTAGATTGGCATGAAAACCGCTAGTGCATTTGAGAGAGAGTGGAACTATTTCTGAGATAACATGGTAGCTAGTGTGGTTATTTCAAGGGTTCCTTTACTCCCAATACATGAGTATTATTAAATAATCATTAGATCTGAATTAACGCACTATGATAGAGTATTTTTAATGATTACCTCTATTCCATATTCAGGTTTAAACTAGAGGTTTAATAATATATAATTAACATTTGATGATATGATGAGTTTTTGATTTAATTTCGTAAGCTAGTAAAACTTAAATACCATTTTCATAAATCAGTCATAACCAGTAAGACTTCAACAACATTCGTATAAATCTATCATATAACTAAAATTCATACCCTTAATGACTTTCGATTTGATGATTAAAAATCTTGTGTGAAATGTTATATAATATGGTTTTGTTAAGTTCTTCTACAAGTTACACTAGCAATCATGATAAGATGGCATTGTTAGCAGGACCAACTTAGAGCTTTGCAAACTTAGAGATGGACTAAAATTGAACCACTTAGAAAGACTCAAGTACAAAGGATTTCTATTGACAGTTTCAAGTGCCGTACAAATATTAATTTTTATCATAAAAGCATTTAAAATCATTTTTACATAGCATGCTAAAGGGGATGAACACAATAAAAAAAGTAGAAATGTTTTAATTTATAGTTAGATGGCTTTTTTTATATCAATTATATTATGTAAATTAATAAAATCTTTAATAATATGATCAGGCATTATGACAAAGCTATTGAATTTCATTGAGCACCATTATGGGTGTAAATGAGTTGAGTCGAGTCAAGCTCAAGCTGCACCAAACTCGAGACCGACTCGTGAGATATATGGCTGGCTCAAGTTTGAATTAAACTCGTAAGCTAAGCTCAAACTCGAATTGTGATAATTTTTACTGACTCGAGTTCAGCTCAAAAGCTCAACCTTGGCTTCAAGCTCAAGCTTGGCTCAATTTTGAGCTTGATTGTGAGCCAAATTATGAAGTTTTTCATAAAAGAGTAAAATAATACAGATTCTTTAAGTTGTTCATAGAACCCTTGTGGTACACATGTGCAACTCCATTTCAGCACTGCAATTGCCACAATATCAACAACAATTTATCATTGTATAACCCTATATAGATGTAAATTACTTTTAGTAAACATAATTGAAAATTTTGACTCCCACACCAAAAAACAAATTCTAGATGACCCTTCACATATAACAGACTAAAATGGTTGTCATTAATCTACTTTTTGGTTAATATCTTTAAAATAAAGTGAAGTCGCGGAACATGAACAATGCATATTAAAAGGAAAGGAGGCATATATTGTTGATTATGTTGAGAAACCAACCAACGGCAGCCACAAAAAATGGGAGGCATGGCTACGTGATGAGAGAACAACAAACTCAAGTTACAAGCGAGCGAACGAAGCAGAGAGAAGAAAAGAAAGATATTAGATTTTAGAACACACTTGCAAGATGTCACAATGCTTATATGCACCTAAAACTAGAGAGCGAGACACGGCCGAGAGGCGAGAGTAAGACGCGAGAGGTGTGGGACTTATGAGTTACAGGCTATGGCTACTTAGAGTAGTCAAAAATAGGTTTTACTACTTCTTCACATGCATCAGAATTATTCCTCGCCCGTTCACTAAACTTGCAACGGTTATCAAACTAATTTTTCAACCTGCTCGACAAGCCAACAAGATGAGTCGCTCAAAACTGGAACTCAAACTCCATAAACAATCAAGTCATACACTTCTAGTTCGAGGCTTGATAAGCTTGGCTCGAGCGTGCTAAAAGTCAAGCCCGAGTAAGCTCACGATCCAACTTGACTCACTTGCACCCTAAGCACCATTAAACATGCTCCTATAGCTTATTGGTTTAAGCAATGTATAAAATTATATAAATTATACTTTACAACATGGAACATACTATACTATATGAATTGTAAAGTGCTATATAAATAATACAATACCATAAAACCGTACAACAAACAATTGTACAATAATGATCAAGCTTTAGCTAGCTATTAAAATAAATATTATAATACATTAAATAAAGAAAAGTATATTATAATGCATTAAATAAATATTATATGCATTAAATCAAGATTGGATATGCCTTGTAAATAAGCAAATTTCAGGGAGCACCACTTCTTATGATTTTAATAAGAAAAGTATATTTATCCAAAATCTTAAATGGGAGCATATAAACTATAAAGAAGTGAGTTCCTTTATCGCAATGGATTTTTTCTTTTTGTTGAATGGGGCAACTTCTTTCAAACTATTATGAGTTGCACGTTAATCTTTTTTAGGGGCATTTACATACGACACAATTCTTATGTATTTACATATCAATACCTAAACATTCATACTTACATGCTTACTACTCAAACCTTTAACATCTCATAAAAAATATCACCATCAATATCTTTTTAAAAGTGAAGCACTCTTTTCCATGCATAAATTTAACACCAAGGTCTTATAAATGTAAATATCAACCTTTAAGTGACAGATATGTAAATAAATAAGAATTGTGTGGTATGTATGTAAATTTTTCTTTTTCTTATAAAAAGGCCAACACTTGGTGCGTTGACCAATAAATATTTTTTTATGTTAAATGGTTGGTGGATATACATCTTTATTAAATGTGTATAAAGTATTTTCTTAACATTATATACTTTTAACCTCACTAGCTTACTCCAAACACAAAACAAGGCTAAGAAAAACATTGTATTTTAATCATGTTGTCAAAATTGAGTTAACCAAATCGAGTTCAATGATTTCCTAATTTAGTGATAGCTTGATTCATTTATTTGATTAATGTGATGGAACATGTCATAAAATACTTATCCTCTTTAAAGAAGTATTTCATAAGTGGGAGGTCGTCGAACTCCATTAACATCATTCAAATTTGTTCAACTAAGAAGGCTAAGATGTATTTTTTCTAGACTTAATTATGGGTGTATATATTATATGAATTCAAGCCAAACCGAGTAATATCCTATTCAAGTTAATTTTGTTTATATTATTTCAAGCCAAATTTCAATATGATCATACGTTTACCATTTTTACAGAGTGGGCTTTTGTACACATACAAATACGTAAACACATACATACATACATTTGTATTGTACACATATACATACATACACATGCATCAATACATATATGCATACATACACATGTCTTGCATGCATAAATACATAAATTCATATCCATCCATCCATCCATCCACGCACGCACACACGCAGACACACACATATGCATACATACATATAACCTATAGTTTCACCAAATAAATCATCCTTGCTTTTTATGAGGTTTTATTCAAATTTATTTAATTGTTTTATCTACTAAACATAAATGAAGTTCAAATCAATGAATACCAAAACATTTATAAGCAGTCTCCAGTTGTACATCATGGCTCTAAGTTAAAATTAAGAGCTCACTCTTTTCGAAACCAGTAAAGAAAAAAAAAACTAAGGATATTCTTAATAAATTTTGATCAAAATGCGTCTCAAAATCATGGATTTGTTTTTACATGAGTGCTTCATGTAAAAAACCAATCAAAATTTATATTGCACCCAACTCAAAATAAATCTAATGGCTTTGAGATCTATCATGATAAAAGATTGATTAGACCTATGTCAATTTTTTAGCCAATAAAATTCAGGACATTCATAGAATGTCATTAATTGGGTATTAAAGTTTAACTAAATTCTAACTTTCATTACCAAATAGAATTTTGTTACTCCAACAACTACAAGTTGTTTAATTTAAAAATTATTAGGCAACTCACTCAAAACCCAAACAAATTACTCATTTTATTAAAAATAAGTAAAGAGTTTTAATATCAGCTACAAACAGAATTAAAAAAAGAATGTAAGTCATTTCAATGGGGAGTTGACCATTTAACAAAAAAAAAATCACGGTGATTTTTTTTTTGTTAAATGGTGAACTCATGAAAGTCATTTCAATAAAATTGTAGGTTAACTATTGTACATTATTTATTTTCATAGTGCAAGATGGTGAGATGTATTTTGTTCCTTATTAGTGAGAAACCCATGTATTTATGGAGTTTAAATACATTTTGAGATAAATGAATGTAATAGTTAGAGTTTTATAATTTTGCATTGGTGGATATGAATGCATAGATATTGAGGTTAAGTCGCTTTACTTAAATTGTTTTGGTGGATATTACTACAAAATCTAATCGCATGAATGTGAACAATTTGGAAAAGTCCATGTTTTAGATGTTTTGTAGCAAAAAATTTTAGAGGCATTTTAGCATGTCGTGAAGGAACTTTTGAAAGGAGTAAGAAACAATGGCAAAATAAATAAATCAATCAAAAATATATGAAATTGAGGAAACCAATTATTAGGGACTAAGGCAAAAAAGTTTTATCCCCCAAAAAGTAAAGTGTGAATCTTCATGCCAAAGCTTAGTTAAGAAAATGTGTAGGCCAACAAAAATATGGATAAAACCTGTGTACGAAGTTGCTTAACATAGAGTAAACATCTTAGGCAAGAAAAAACAATCTAGTAGAAATAGAAAATTAGAATTGGCATTCAAAAGATAAATTCAAAGCACCATTACGATGTTCAAGATTAAAAGTAAGAAATTGATTCATAACATTCTGATAAACAAGCTGTCACCATGAATTTTCAATTTTGTGGATTTTCCTTGAAATGAATGCAAGGTTCGGATATTTAAAAAACTTGTATACTGCATTCATTGCAATATAAACAAAATAAATTTTAAATTCATCATCACTAAATTATGGTCAGGATATCCACACCCAATTGTTTATCTAAGTTGTGGAGAAATTAAAAGAAAGTACCTTTAATCACACCAAGCAGCAGAAGAAGGAAGAAGAAAGGAAGGAATGATAACAAGCTCCATAGCTTGGCGAGAAAGCCAATGGGGACCTTCATACCAGATGCAAACCCTAATTACATCCACTGCGAGCTTTCTTAAAAGAAGGCAAGAGGAGGGAGGCATTCGTAGTAGAATGGTCCGAGGAGATTGGAAGCGAGCCGGTGAAACGAAAATTTGGGAGAAAGGGAAAGGCGCCACGTGGCAGGAAGGCCTGATACGTGTCCTGCGACTCGACTCCCGCGAGATTCGCCTGTTCGGGTACGTTAGGTGAGTCCGTCCGAATTCTCAACAACTATAAATTTATTTGCATATATATTTTTTCTAACTTTTTTCGTTGCTGTAAAGAAAGAATTTTATGTACATTGCACCTCAAATAATGCAAATCGAGTATTTAATTTATGTTTTATTTGAAGAAAATCAAATTTAAAATAAAATGTATATGAGTTCTGATATTTTTTATGGTTGCTAAATTTTGTCAAGCTATAAATATTTAGCTTGTGGTCATTGACATAACAGCTCATCAGCTGCTCGACTACCACCGTCATCGTCATCATCCAATTTTATTTTGAATTCATTTTTTACTTCAAATCACAAAACAAAAATTAATGCTTTATTCTTCCTTTAAATCAATCAAACAATTATAAATAGTTTCAAAAATATTATATTTCATAAGGTTAGCTAAAGCGAAAGCACATGGGCTTGCACCCTCCACTGATCTTGTTCAATGTTGAGGTGATTTCATCAAATCATAAGGAGTGCAAAACTCCAAGATAAGTTGATAGATAGTCTTCATTTCAATTATGAGATTAGTTAATTTCTAAACAAGTTGCGACAATAGCTATACTTTCAAAAAAAATGAAAAATCAAAATCAAGTCACAACTTATACAATATGTAAGATATCAAAATCTATCTGTTTCTATTTGTTTCATTATGTGCTTTCTTTTTGGCATTAACATTCTTATTTTCTTTCATATGTCTGACAGCATGATCATAAATCATTTCTATGTGAGAGGCTTTACGAGCAACCCCTAACAATTAGCAAGCATTTGCAAATAAATGTTTTATGAGCCTTAAGGATATAGGTGTATTAAAAGATCTCGAAAGGTTTAAAGCCCAGAAGAAACATGTGCCTCCAAAAATCTTTGAAAGCTAAAGGCCTTAAAATATATAGATACATAAGAAAAAGTCAGAATATATACACACATCAAAATTATCAAAATGCTAAAAAGTGGTACTTAAAGGTGGCCGCCTAGGCGCCTTGAATAACCTTAAGGTTGTTTTTTATGTTTCTATGGTTTGTGTGGTTTTCTGAGGGTTTAAGAAGAGTTAATACAATGATTCAGAGAAGGGGAAGACTTACTTGTTACTTTTAGTTGGGAAATAAAAGGGAAGGAAAAACTGGAGATGAAGAAAGAGCTTATGAGATAAAAGGAAGACTAGATTTCAATGAAGGATATAGTAAGAAAAGGGACATCCCAGGAGTGGGAGTGAGAAACCTTCTGTAAGTGATTGTCTGTACTTTTCTCCAACGTACATTTGTGCAAGTACCAAGTTATAAATGGGAGGAATATTATGGGTAAAGCAAGGGTTACTCTAGTTTTGTTGTTCTAAGTTATTTGTAAACTTAATTTTCTATTTTCAATGAAAGTAATCTTATTTTTATTTAGCATGTCTCATCACTAAATTTTTTTCTCCCTTGAGTTAGGATCTAAGAAATCAGATAAAATCAATGATTTGTGAATCATCTTATTTTAATGTGCATGTTGATATGTTAAGTTTTTGTGCTTAATATACTTCTATATTGGGCTCATAGAAAGTTACAATGGGTTATGATCTAGTACTACAAAACTAGGTTAGTAAAATGATTAAGATAGCATACACTAATTTAGAAGAATAGGAATAATGATGCTAGAATAGTGAAACCACATAGAAAAATGTAGAAACCCAGGGTTTTTTGCATGGTTTAAATAACAAAATTGTAATATGAAACCCATAGATTTCTTATGAACTTGAAAGAGGCTAAGGAATAATGATGTTCCTTATTGTTAACAATAGTGGATTTGATTGGATAAGTATTGATTTCCTTGGTGGGTTATTCTTTCACTTGCTAGAAAACCTTCATTTTTAATTTTGTTAGGACTTTGAAATTAGGATTAGTCACTTTAAATAATTCACGGAAATTTTAACTTTTAAAATAGAATTAAAACTAGTAAATTAGATCTTTCACTTGTTGTAGAAATTAGCAAGTTCTGTGTAGGATTGATGCAAAGACTCAAAAATCTAGATATTACTTGAGCGACATGTATACTTACATAGTTGAACCATATTTCGCAGAACCATGACATCATGTTTTTGGATTTGTTACTAGGGACATTAAATTTTCATTTTTGGGAGAATTTTAGTTGATTATTTGAAGTTTAGGTTTGAAACAAGTATTGTAAATGTTTTATTTTCTATTTCTCCATGTATGTATTCTTAAATTTACTATTGAAAATTTTCAAAAATACCATTCCACGTAACTTTTCATTTGGTTTGTAGGTGTTGTTTTGTGTTTGTTGTATATAGTATTTGAGTTTTTTGTTAGTTTATAATAACTTATTTGCTAGACCAAAGTGTGTAGGTGTAGGATATCAACTAAGAACCTAGTGCCATTTGACTCTGAAATTGAAAAAAATAGCCAAAAAACTGAAAAGATCATGAAATTTAAAAAGACCCTAGGAGAGATGAAAAACCCTCAAGAAGAAAATTTTCACTAAAGAATTTTTCTAATCTAATGGTAGAAATAATACACCATAGTAAAACTAATCCTATCATTTAGGCCAACACATTTAAACTTAAGCCTACAAGAATTTAGATGATCAAGAAAAACTAGTTTAGGTCATCCCCTACTGAAGACCCTATCCTTCATATAGCCCGCTTTTTAGAATTATGTGCAACCTTTAAATAAAATGGCTATAAATTTCCTACCAAAAATTCCTGGCTATATATTTCCTACCATCTATAACTATGAAACTTAGGAATGATATCACCTCCTTTATCCAGTTAGATGGAGAGTACATATATGAACCTTAAGAAAATTTTAAGGAGCTACTTAGGAAGTGCTCGCACCATGCCCTACTATATTGGCTAATACTTCAATTTTTTTTTTATAACGGGCTAGTAAGATCTTTGAGGTCTATCATATATATTATAGTTGTGGGATCCTTAATATCTAAACCATTTGAAGATCCATATAAACATAATGAAGAAATTACTATAAATAATTTTATTGATCCTTCCAGAGAGTTAACCATATGAAGGTAGGCAGTGTTCATGGCATGAATGTATTAACAATTCTTACTTCATAAGAAGTTATATCAAGGAAATTAGATAATCTAGGCTTGAATCATGCACTAGGATAAAAAAAATAGAAGTGAATGTCTATGGATAACTAGCTGAACCTAGTGCTACATCTGTAGAGTCAATAAATGTTATTAACAACAAACCCAACAACTCGTATTCTATAGTCCAAACTTGAGGTATCATCCAAATTTTAAATGAAATAATAATAACCAAGGTGTAGGACAACAACAGTGGGGTAGCAATTAACCTAAATATGTAGAAAAATTGAATAATCAGAGAAAATATAACTCGATAATGACCACTCACCAAGATTCACTGTTAATTCCCAGTTTAAAGAAAAAAAAATTCTTATAAGAAGTAGTGTAGAAATGAGGAATCAATTACAATGTTAAGTTACAACCATATGTAACATTGAATATCAATAAGGTAAAATAGTTAAATCTTCAAGTAATAGACCTTAGGGGATATTAATTACTTAATAACACTAAATTAAATCCAAGGGAGAAAGAGAAAGGGCGTGTTAAGGTTATAAGAATAAGGAGTGGGAAAGAGATGAAAGAAGTAACTAGGAAGGAGTCTAATCTAAAAGAGCATGAACCAAAGCTTGAAATACATAGTGGAAAACATACCCCAAACTTAGGAGAATCTTACTCACCTCCTACAAAAGAAAAGAATAGACCACCACCACCTTTTTCCCTGATACGAAAAGCACAAGTTAGACAAATAATTCTCACAATTCTTAGAAGTGTTCAAGAAGCTTATAATTAACATCCATTTTACTGAAGCCTTAGAATATATTCCTAGTCATGTGAAATTCATGTAGGATATCCAGATTAAGAAAAGAAACCTGGGTGATTTTAAGACTATGGCTCTAACATAAAAGTTTAGTACTATTCTTCAGAAGAGACTTCTATAAAAACTTAAAGATTTGGATAGTTTCACCATTCCTTATTTACAGGAGATAAATTTCTAAGGAAGTCTTATGTGATTTAGGAATCTTATGTCTTTATCAATTTTCAATGATTAGTATTAAGAGAAGTTCGACCTACCAAAATGACCCTACAGTTATTCCATCATTCTCTTATCCTACATAAGTAATAGAGGATGTACATGTTAAGGTTGATAAATTTATCTTCCCCATTACATTTATTATTTTTGATATGAATAATGATAAGGAGATCCTTATTAACATATGTTGACCTTTTCTTTCCATAGAACGGGCCATGATAAATGCTCAAAAATAGAAGCTTACTATGAGAGTTACTTCTCCAGGACCATATTGATGATACATGTTTTAAGTTGGATTTGATGGATGGATTGATTTGATGCCAATTTAGAGAGATGATAGAACTAGATACGATAGAACGGAACTCAAATGAGGATGTTAGTGAAAAACCTAAGGAAGCATTCAATGTACTATTATAGTTAAACCCTATAGTGATTTGGGATAAGTTTGAGATTATAGACACCATGAATAATGTCAAGCCTTTAGTCTCGCTTGTAGTTGAGGCTCCTAAATATAACTTATGGTTCTTGTGAAGCACCAAATATATGTATTTCTAGAAAAATTTTCATCTTTCCCTTTGCAAGAGGCAAAGTTGATGAGAGTGTTATAGACTTCTAAGAAAGCTTTCAGATGGAGTATTACTGATATCAAAAGAGTAAAACCTAAATAATTATGATGGAAAATCATGAACCCAAGGCTGATCTTTAGAGGAGGCAAAACTCAGTTATGAAGGAGATAGTTAAGAAAGAGATTTTCAAGTGGTTGGATGCATGAATTATCATTTCTATTTTAGATAATGCAT